ACAGGATCTCCGTCGAGAAACGATGTGTTTTTAGCAGTGTGGTTTGAATTTGCTTCGATGTCGCCGTTTGGATTGACTAAAGCTAAGCATGCGAGAAGGAACGACGTAGCAGCGAGTGCGATGTGGACCCAGGCCAGGCCAGACACCGTCGACGCCGAATACCTCCGTTCGGAGGGATACAAATTCCGCGTGTCGGGCTTTGTTTTCACTTTTATAGTATAAACGTCCTCCATGTTGTAATTACGAAATCATAACGTTGTTTAAAGTTAGGGTTTAACCGATCAACACTTCGAGTGTAAACTAATTTTATCACTGGCACATTTTATTGTCCAAACACTATTGTAAAGTGTCTATCACTGCCTAGAATTCTACTAACATGTACCGCGACCGTTTATAAACGGTTTTTTTTTATATTTTTTTGTTAAATACACATCAATCAACGATACGACTCACACGCATGACATTTGTCAGCGCACTGAACTGAAGTTATAAGCGCAACCGCATGTACGGTATTGCCAACATAAATACAAAGCTCCCCGTAAATTTGTTAAGTAGCCCACGATAAATGAACAATAAACAGATAGTCTAACTACTATTATATTATTAGGAAATAAAAAAGTGTTACTTCTAAATGATACCGAAGTTTAATGCCTAAACTATATACTATACTGTACCAACGTATAAATTGTAAAAAAAATATTTTAAATTAATAACTTATCTAAACATTATATTTAGTTTCTCCATTATAATTTTGTGGTCATAATCTTATCATAAAGTGTTCCTATTACATATCCTATTGTATTTGTTAACGCAACCATCGGGTTTTTAATGTAAGACTTGATTTTTATTAAAATTTCCCGAGACTCGAGGTAAATTTTAAAACTAGCAACATTAACCATCAAGTTTAGATTTGCCGATATGCGTTTCTAGTTCCTATTCCAATGAAATATGGTCTTGCTTGTTTTGTGACGAACAAAGAGGAATTCTTTTATTTATTATCATCTTGAATAAATGTTTTTTCAACATGCACTCGCGTCAAAGGCGACTAGATTCGATGTAATAGGATGCCAACTAGAGGTAAACACCGTTACACACAGCTTTTTTATGTCATACTAGCTGTCGCCCGCGACTTCGTCCGCCCGAAATTAAATAAAAACATAATTAGTAAGTCTATGTGTTCTTTCAGACTACGTTCTATATGAATGCTTAATTTAATTGCGATCCGTTCAGCAGTTCTGGAGAAATCTTCAAACAAATATCAATCCATACATCTAAACATTCGCATTAATAATATAAAGTAAGATTTTTTACTCATCATAATTTTTTTCTGATATACATAACATCCTTAATTTGTTTATTGTTAGCTTTTATATTGTTTAACATTGAATAATATCATGTTAAAAGTAATTGTTTCATATTAATATGTAAATTGACAAAGGGATTTCAACTATTTTACAACTTCGTGAGAGTTGAGATAGTTACATAAAATCATGGGTTGCGGACGAAAGCGAAAGCGTGCCCGTGACCACGCCATCATGCGAAGGAGGAACAGAGGGGTTTAGTGGGTATGCTCCCATCTGGAAGAGAATCCCACATAACTACCGTGACCCCCCCCGGGGCACGGAGTATGCATAAAGCATTCCACTCTGAAAAAAAAACTTTTTTTCTTAATTGATGATTATGATCATCTCCTACGGTGTGAAATTAACTTAATTATGTTACGGTTTGTTAGAAGCAGTTTAATAATTGAACAGCAGAGGTTTTGTATGTAAATAATTTTGCTTTGTCTATGGAATGTTTGGCAAAAGTTTTTTTTACTAAATGTTTTAATAACATCTGATTTTTTTTATAACAGAAGGGGGCAAACGAGCAGCGGGAACACCGAGGTGTTAAACAACGCACATTGACATCAGCAATACCAGAGGAACCGCAAATGCGTTGTCGGCTTTTGAGATGGTGATACGCTCGCTTCTTGAAGGACTCCAATTCGATTATGATTATGGCTGCCATACACGAACTGTCACAGTCAGAGTATTTTTTAAAGATTTAAATAAATTATACGACTTTAAAAAAATGTTTAAGTAAGAAATGAGTCATCATAAGTCATGTTAGCAACTGTAATGTAGTGCTTTTGATTTGGTTAGGGTTTGTTTATTTAAAAATTACTTCAATCTTGGTCACAGTCGGCACGAAGTTTTTATAAAGTTCGAATAATCGGTACGAGTTAAGTGGCAATAGTTTCGTATAAAAAACTATGTAGTGCAAGGGTCTGTAAAGACCTCGAATAGTTTCTTCAGCTCTGGCCTGAACTTAAAATCTAAAATACAGTACTTTACAAACAAAATGAATTATTTATATTTGTAAACAAAGAAACACAAACTAGTATACTACTATTATACTGATTGATGTAAGTGTTATATAATAGTAGAAATAACAAAAAATACTGAATTCAGGTCATTGACCTCTAGCCACGTGTCAAACAGAAAACCTTGATGCCACGTGTAACCTAAATATAAACATAGATTCGAATTTATTTATTGAAATATTATACCTCTTATTTTGCACTGAAAAATTCTTAATCTGTCTTTTTTGGGTTAGACTTACGTATTAATTTGAACTTCGATATCGATATAGCTTTAAAAACTTTATTAAAATACTCGCTGTCGCCCGCGATTTGGTTGCGCGGAATTAAAAACAAACGTAGTAAGTAGCCTACATGTTCTTCTAGACTATGTTCTACATCTATGCCAAATTGCAGCGTGTTCCATGCAGCCGTTTCAGAGGTAACTTCAAACAAACATCCATCCATTCAAACATTCGCATTTATAACGTTATAATAAGACAATCATATTGTAAATACGTTAGCATATTTCTGTTCAAACAAGGCTAAGCTCAACTCAAGGTATCCACAGTCTGTTGTATATCATATTTATGTACATATTATATTATGTACACAATGAAGCGTGACCGCGTATATAATTAAATAAAAACTGTGCGATCAGCCTGACCTTGTCATCTGCGATCGTCTCGCCTTGGAGCTTGAGCTTGGTGATCTGACATAATTATGTGTGTACACTCGCACACAAAATCATAGTAGTATTATAAATGGGAATGTTTGGATGGATGAATGAAGAATACATGTTTGAAGGTGTTTCCAGAACAACAGAATGGATCTCGATTAAATTTAGCATACATATAGAACAGAGTCTGGAAGAACGTATAGGCTACTAACTGGATGGAACTGCTGAAAAGCATTTTCGATAAAATAAGCATAATAATGATTTTTTTATTGATAAAAAATGTTTAAAAATGAATAATTCACGATATTAATGTACGCGAATTTTGAATTTGTAATTAAATTGAATATTTTTGTCTCATATAAAAACTGTTTGCGATTGTACATACACCGTATTCTGTAACGAAACCGGTAAAAAGTTGCAAATACATACTCGTTCTCTTAAAATGTATGTTTATACCTAATTAGGAATAATACATAAGGTCAAATGTTTGTTCTGCATTTATAGAATAACATATTCTCTCATTAAAATAACTGTTCAAGTATAAAAAAAGGGATTTGACTTGGCACTTGGTAAATAAGAGCTCTCCTCGATCTGACATGCCAACTTAAATGCCGGGTTCTAAGAAAATCAACACATCCCAACCCAAGGTCATCGTCGCGCTGCGCAATGCCCTACCGCGCATCCCGCTACACCTAATTATGTTGCGCAGCGTCTCGCGTAAGTTAACAGCCTCTAAGATATCTGAAAACATTAATAAACAGTCTTCAATAATTGCTTTTATTCGTCAGTAAACACAATGCAAGTCCGAAGATATTTTCACTTGCCATATTTTTTGTGTTGCCGTAACAAAGACGTTTTAAATACTTTCTAAACTTTTTACGAGATACGATTGTATTACGAACTGAAAACACGCAAAAATTACAAACATCTAAACAATGCAGAAATAAAAAAGAACTCCATTGTGATCAAATAAGATAAAAACAATGATTATTTAGTGGCCTTAGAAATCGTAGTTTAGATTCGATTAATTATTTAGAAGAGTGACTGTGCCTTAGTGATAGCTAATATTAAATAACACGCTTAGTGGCTATTTAGCGACTCGCTATTTCGGCGAATACATGTGGCCAGTTGCAGGCTTGCCACTTTATAATATTTTAAAAAATCAAACTTGTCACATTTTTCAAAAAGCGAAAAGTTTCAGGCAAAGAGCATCAACTAATCATGACAACAATAATTCTGGGATTTTTGCAGAACGTATGCAATCAACCCTTATTTGTCTTAAGAAAAATAAAGATAAAAATTGATGTAGAAAAAAAAAATAAAAAAATATCTCGGCGGTGGAAACCCACAGTAAACAACACAAAGACGTAAATGGCGTCACCCATCGTAATCTCATAGATTTTCGTTTACGCAACTTCACGGATCATTAGATCCTATTCGCTACAATAGTCACAAGATACAAGACTTTGGACCTTGCACCAGATTTGATATTGTGATAACTTTAAGAATTTCAGCAAGAGTTCTTGTCTTGTCCTTAATTAAAAAGAATTTAATATAACTTCGATATCTTTATGTTAAAATTTTTATGTGTATGTTAATAATTTACAATAACTATTCAACAACTAAAATGTCTTTGAACGTAAATAAAGACGTCTATGCAAAAAGCCGTTGAATTCAAAATGGCCGCCGTCGCCCGGCCGCTTGACCTCCGCTATCTTGACAATTTCCTCTCAATAATCGGTTAACGGTACAATTCTAATTCTGTATCTCAATATTAGGCCAGGTCAGATCCATAAACAATGTTTACTTTATAACGGTTTATGTCCTTTTGAATTTGGTACGTTAACGGTCGTTAATTATTCTATTAATAAGCGTTAATGTAGTGTTACATGTAAAAGATTAGATATCATTTGCCAATTTGCAATAATTACAAGATTCACCTTTCATTTTAAAAATCGTTTATAAAGAAAAAACAATAAGGAATATTATAGAATTTATTTGAATAAGGTAAAGAGATAAAGATAGAGAAAATTTCTAACCTCAAAAATTCTTGTTGATATAAAGTTTAAATTTTGTATCAGTCTAATTGAAGTAAATGTAACTCGGATGTAGGCAGATTCCACCTCGACACTTGACGCAGTTATTTATGTTGCTAGGACATTGGCTGTGATGGCTCACCACTCCACTGGACTCAGGCGAAGGTCCGCCTATAATCTTTTGATGCACGTATCCATAACAGTTGCATTTCTTTTTATCATCTCTCTCTTGTGCTAGTGAGTATCCCACATCGGTAGCCGGGTTTACATGAGGTCTTGTGACGCTACCACGCTCTGTCAATTCAGACGTTAAACAACAATCCTTACTTCGTCTTTTATCATCATCAAATATACCATAACCATTTTGATCGTTACAAAAGTTCTGTCTTTTAGTCTTTGATTCTGATACCGGCTTGAGAATAACATCCGGTCTATCAATATTTCTTCCCAAACTTATGTTGGACTGTCTATATCTTGTAACTGGTAATTTTCTTGTCGCCCAAATTTCTTCTTCGACTGAAGGTTGGTTCATTTGAAAATTAGCTATGTTACCTTCAGCCATAGAAATATGTGATATACAGGGGCTTTTTAAACATTGTCTCCGAGATCTACAGTGAGGAGCGGGCAAATCGACTTTACTGAACGGCAACGACGGCACAGTTCGTCGCAACTCATTATGCATACCTTGTAACTCTTGGTGTGAACTTACCATTTCGTTATCGTTTGAATCCCAATAGTACTCTTTAACGATAATACGAGGAGATAAGTCGTTTACTTTTTCAGTTTGTGCACACTTCGTTCTAATATGCCTTTGACATGTGAGAGTTTCTAAACAATTCTCTGTTTCTCTCAGACCACAACAATTAAATTCCGAACACGTGGGAGAATCACTTTCATTCTTTCCAATCAAATCTGGTCTCGTATTAATTTGGTTTTCTATGCCATTTGGAGTTCCATTAACTTGGACATCTTTGTTACCTGTATTTACTTGTTGATATCTTATATATTCACGGAAAGATTCCTTAAAATGATCACGAATGATATTGTCTCCGTCTTCTACAGGTAAATCATAAGTTAATGTTTCTTTTGCTATATTGATATTACTCGTTTGCTTGTCTAATTTATCTAATGTACGCACATTATTGTTTTGTAAACTTCTCGATACCTGTTGTAAAGTTTGCCTGTGTGCTTTGTTCATTTGATCATTGTTATATAATATTTTAAGTATATTTTCGGTAATTTCTGCAAAATTTGGTTTATGTTCGGATAAAAATGTAAACTGTTTAATTTTCTCCGTTATTTTGTCCCTCAAATTACTATGTTGTATCTCAGATGGATTTTCTAAATAGTATTGAATTAAATTTACAAAATGATTCCTGAGTAATATATTTTCATCGGTAACCTTTAAAGGTAGTTCTTCCAAGTAGTCTTTAATTTTGTTTTTCGTATAATTAATTTCATCTGAATAGTTTGGGGATTTTGTTTCAGGAATACGTATATTTTGTAAGACACTGAATAAATTATTGCACAGTTTATCCGTGTCTAAAGGTGTGGCAGGATATCTTCTCAAATAATCATTGCAAAATTTGTTGACCTCATTTTTAAGAATAACTTTGAATTTTCCTGTGTTCACATCCGTTGTTTTAACCAATGTAACAAATGCCTCAACTAATTTTTCTTTTAAATCATTAAAAGATGTCTGTTGATCTGAAGATAAAGTTGTATTCGTTGGTAATGTATTCTCTATAATATCATAAAGTTGTTGTCTGTAATTTTCTATGAATTTTTCTTTTTGTTTTGTTTTAAAAACGTCTTTCATAACGTCGACTAAATAATTTTTAAATGAAAATAGATTTCTTTTACAGTGTTCATTTACTTTTAAAGTATTTAGTAACTGTTCAACTTCATTCCTGATAATGGTTTCATAAAACGTATCTCCATTTCTCCAAGCATAATTTAAATGTTGCTTGTTAATTATATTAACTAATCCAGAAACGAGTTCTTCTCTAACTTTTCTTGCATCTTCTGGACCTTGTGCTGAATCAATTGGAATGTAAGCACATTTATTCGCTAATTCTGTTGCCAATAAGTGTGTACTGTTATTACCAGAATAAGCAATATTTACAGAATTATTTGTTCCGTAAGGATCTTTTGTATGATGTTTTAATATTATAAATAAATTTTCTACTAATATTTCTAATTTCTGTTCATTTTTGAATTCTTCTCTTAAGGGCAACTCTTTGAGCACATTAATTATAATACTTTTTAAATGTTTATTTGAGTTTGTTGATCCTAAATCATTGTCTAAATAATCAGACAAAATGGAATAAATCCTATCAGCTGTTTTTCTAGCTTCGTGTGTGCTAATAGCCCACTTCAGTGGCAAACTCTCAATCCAAAAGGTTACATTCTTTTTTGATTCGTCGGGAGTTTTTCGTATGCTTCGAAGCAAATTCAGATCTTTTAAATAATTTAACAGATCTATAGCCATTGTATAATTATAATTGTCAGTATTTTGAACTCTTTGGTTCAATGGTAATTCTTTGAGTCGTGATTCTATCATTTTTAATATATATCTTTCGAAATCTATATTTTGATTTGGTGGTAAGTTATTGTTAATGCGGTCTAAATCTAATGCAAGATTTGCCATCACAGTTTCTTGACACAACTCTTCTTGTTTGTTACGTCTGTGATACATTTCTGAGTCTTTTAACCAATTCATAAGAGCGTACTTTAAAGCCTCAACGTATTGATTCGTTTCTGTCAACAGGCCATTTATAGAAGCATCATAATTTACAATCTTTTTCAAATTACCTTTCAAACCGTGCAGTTCTGTTTCTGTAGGCTCTTTAACAATTTTAGGTAACCATCGCAGAACTTCGCATTCAAGAGCTAAATCAGGATTCTGGGTTTGGTTTTTTGTTTCTATTACACGCTTTGCAATTTCTTTTGCTATTGCTTTTTGATGTTTTACATCTTGTGAAATAATACGGTCGTGTGGTATTTTGTCGATCCATCGTAGTACATGTCTAGTTACCTCATCCAATGAAGAATTTTTGTGGCTAGGTATTAACTGTGCGTCTTTTAAATATTTTAATATTTCAAAAGCCAAACTTCTGTGATAACTTTTATCACATTTTGCTGTTGCCTCCATTGGGAATTGTTTTATTCTAGTTTCCAATAATTTAAGTATAGTGTCATCATTAATAGATTTTTCAGTGTCACTAATAACTTGATTTAAATCGTGGGCAAGGCCTGACACCAAATTTTCTTGAAATCGTTTTTCATGAATATTTCTGTTTTGATACAGGGACGTTTCTTTCAACCAGTTCATGATAGCGTTTCTAATTGCTTCAGTACTTTGATATTCTGACGCGGGAGTACCGGGTGCTTGACCCATGTAATGACGTTGATATCCAGGTCGCGTAGAAAACTCAGACAATTCTTTGTCCTCCATTATTTTTTTTAAGATAGATGTCATCCAGATTAGTTCAGTTTCATTGGGTTTCTTTACTAGTTTTGGTAACCACCGTATTACTGTCTGTTTAAGTGCCGTTTCAGGATTTGAACTTTGATTAGCTGCCTCTCGTAATCGTTGTGCAATTTCCTTGGCAACCATTCTATGATAATTTCTATCATGAGAAATCATGCGGCCTGAGGGAATCCTCTCAATGCATTTAACAACTTCATGTGATATATTATTTAATGAAGGGTTCTCGTAAATTTGAACAAGAGAGCCCTGGGATAGAGTTTTAAAGTCATCATCTTGTTGAATTGACGATAAAGTTGGGTTTGAAATGTAATTGTCAGTCAATTTTTGTTTCGGTGTCGATGCTTCTTGCGGAGAATTTAAAAGTCGATGAATCCATTTTATAATTCTATGCTTGGACGAATCATCTACTGGCAAGCCATGGTTTCTAAAAAAAATAAAAACTAATTTGGCTAGTTTTTCTTCTTTTTCTTTACTAGAATATTTAACGTCAGATATTATCTTTTCCATTTTATCCGCTAATTGGTTTGCAGATATCATCAATTTTTCTTTTAAGTTTGTATTTAAATTACTACTAATATGACTTATGAAACTAATAACTTCATTTTCTGTTCGTTTTGAATCGAATTGGTCCGTCCGTTTCGTGATTGTTTCATCTCTTGATAGTGGTGCCGACAGATGTGTTTTATGTTTTAAACTTAACGACATATCAATCGTATGCCGTAAAAGAGAATTATAAACATCCTCCATTTCACTTTTAGATACATTTGCTTCTCTTAATAATGTGTACGCTTTCTCTTTGAAGTTGCTAGTATTGTCACATCTTATTATTTGGTCCGCAATAAGATTTGTTAAGTCGTTTTGGATTTTTTTCTGGTTTCTCATATCCCCAGCATTAGCTTTCAGTACACCGGACACTAGCTCTCTTACGTAACTTCGAATCTCCTCTTTTAATGATTTGGGTAATTTAAGTGACGACTCTGAAAAGTTTATTTGAATAGTAACTATAATCTTACTAACATTATAAAATTCGAATGTTTGAATGGATGGATATATGTTTGTAGGTATCTCCAGAACGGCTGAACGGTTCTTGATGAAATTTGGCATACATATAGAACATAGTCTGCAAGAACACAGTCTACTAATGTTTTTTTTTCATTCCGCACGGACGGAGTCACATGCGTCAGCTAGTATTTAATATAATCGTAAAATAAACTAACCTGTACCCATTTTTTTGGATATAACATCAACAATTTCATCTTTTAATACGCTTTTCATATTATTAGCAATAGCGAGAGGTAACTGATCTACAACTTGTTTCACTTTCATTTCGATAATTTCTTGCATGTTTGTATTTTTATTTGTATTATTTTTAATAAAGTCCGAATTTGAACACATCGATGAAGACAAAGCTTTGACTTTCATTATAAGTGCTTCCATCAATAGACTTTCAGTTCTCGGATCCAAATTATTTGTTTTAGTAATCTCAATTATTTTTTTTATATCATCTTTAACTTTATTTTGGGCTGTTGTTTTTTGGACAATATTCCCATTTTCCAAAATCTTATTTAAGTCCATATCCAAAAGTACTTTTGATGTTTCCGGCATAGTTACTTCCTTGCTTGTGCCGTATTTACGGTTAAGAGTGTCACTTTTCTTACTAAGAACCTTATTCAATTCATGTATTAATTCATCTGCAGCTTTATTAATAAAGTTTACATCGGGACTTTGAACGAGAAGTTTTTTAAACAAATCGTTAACTTGAGATCGAACAGCTTCGTTATACTCGTTCTTATTTGATTTTTCGTTTAATTTCAGAGATGCAATTTTAACCATAAATTTATTTAAAATATTGTCTTTTCTAACGACTCTTTTATCAAGTGTTTTCTGTTTAAAGAAAAACTTATCAATCCAATCATTGATAATTGTTTTTAAACTGTTATCTTCATCTTTTAAAAGGGATATACGAATTATAAGATTTTCTATAAGATTATTTATAAATAGGTCACGATCGTTTTTATCTACAGGTCGCCACATTGGCAATATATCTAGAACTTTTTTAATTTCTTCTTTTTGTTTATCTTCCATACCTTTAAATCTCAGTAAGGACTTTACTAAGGTTCTTATAATCTGTTGCCTTTTGGCTTTATCTTCTTCAGAGCAATCGGCGTTAAGTGGTATTTCCTGTTGCCAGTCAATCACTTGCTTGAGTAGCTGGCTGGAATATTCTTGTTCTTCTTTACACAAATGACAGCAAGAAGAAGTATTCATATGGTCTTCGAGACTTGTACTTCGATCACAACATTTACCAACTCTTAAGCGTATATTTGTTGGAGAATCTTTTATCGTCGGCTGTGGACATTCGCAGGGTACGATTTTTTTACATTTGTAACACATTTTGGTATCCACTTCATTTTTAAGCTGTTTCTGAGTATAAATGAAAAAATACTTATTATTTGTACAAAAGTGACTATGGAAACGACCAATGATGAAAATAATAATAGTTATGCCCGTCTAAAAAAAGGTAAGAACATGACAGGGAAATAAATTGCTTTTTTTTTAATTACTGTAAGTTCTTAATCAATAATAGAAAAATCCTAATAAAAGAATAATTATAAGAAAAAGTCAATCCCCATTTTTTGATTATCGTTACCTCTGGCTCTGTTTGGTTTTTTAACAACCCTTTGTTTGGAAGACCTGAAAGGAAAATATAAGTATTTTTTAAAGATAAAAGAGGTTTTATATATTCCACTTATTTTTTTAACCATCTACTTACTTTTTGCACCAATGCAAAAGGTCTCGCAAGCCTGGTAATAAATAAATTGTATTTAAAATTAAAAGCAACCTCAATTCTAAATAATTGTCATAGTTTTAACTTTTTAATCATAATGATAAAGTTGTACCATATCGTTGTTGGGACTGTGATATTCCTTCTGGTGCTGTAGGAACCGTCGCTCGATTTCTGGACAAACCTGAAGCCAAGAACTACATCAATAACATTCAATATTGTTAACAAGATTTAATCAAACGTTTCAAATAAATAAAAGAAGAATTTTTATTGAAAAATATACATGATTTTATGTCGAAAGACTTTTATTATGGTTGTCCTCACGGAACTGACCATAGCGTCGTTGTCCCAGACGTGTTTGATGGCGTCACGAATGCATTTCCTTACATCGTTTAGGTAGCGTACCTCCGCGCCACCTCCCATGCGCTGCAGCCGCGACATCTCTCTGTATTGACGAAGAATTTTTAAAAAATGCGCGTCTTTTACACTTGTCACCAGCGGCATACCGGCAAGCCATAATTCTTTGTTTTACAAAAACGTAAAATAATTCTTGACACTTTGTTGTCTAAGGCCGTTTGGTTAGAGAAATGTGGCATATCTCAGAAACACAGAATTACCTCAAACTTTAAGAAAATACAAGCAAACATCTTACTCACCGTAAGATAATGTTACAAATCACTGCAGTTGTGGTTACCTCAACCCAAAATCCGTAAATTGCTTCTTGGGACTGGACATCCCTGAAGAAGTAGACTGGACGTTCATAGCAACTTGAGCTGCTGTCTTACTGCAGTCACATGGGATTCTCTGACGCCGCGGGTACAGGTGAAGTTTCTTGAGGCAGGGGACCTCATGGTGGCACTTGGTCTTCTTGTTACGTTTCGAATGACTCTTTTTCGATTTACCGACTAAATGAAAAGAATTCATTTAGTCGGTAAATCATTGCGTTACATGAAAATCATACCTGCATAGAAAAAAATAACCTTCTACTAATACTAACGTCGTTTAGCAAGCGTGGACGATAACAATCGCTCTATCACTTCAGAGGAGCGCGCAAACTCCGGCAGTGCTCGAGGGTACTTGCGTAGAGACTGTGCGAACGAGTCTGCCACTTGGGCCACTCGGCTCTTGCGAAACGAACCTAAATTTAAAAAGAAATTTTCTTAATGCTATCAGTAACTTGAAAGTAGTAGCCTTGTCGTTGGATGTATCAAAACACGAAGTAGAATTTTATCCTTGCACAGTTAACAAAATTCACAAAGGACATAACACATAGATTCAGTGAATAACTATTTGATATCCCATAAATTATTACAACAGTGAACATAATTTTAGAATTTTTACCTTGTTGCGCTTCTTGAACAGGGTACTCCGTGGGACCGGCAGAAGCTGATGCCGGGATAACATTACAATGTGCAATCTGGGTGCAAATTTAATAGATTAGTAACACGAAATCTGATTCTTGATTTCCTTTTTCAAAAAGGTAGAGATTGACCTAGAAGGAGATGGATCAAGAAGAGAGAGATGACTGAGATGACGAAAGATAGCTCGACCAGGAGGACAAAAACTGGTGCGATAACCCCATATAATTGGGCAAAGCACAAGAAGATGATGAAGTAAGCAGCTCGCTGGTTTATTTACACCTGTAGTCTAGTGTCTGCTGCAGTATCTTGTATATTTAGTATGTTTCCAATACTCTAAACACCTGTAAGTTTTTACATCTCTCTCGGTCTATGTACATTGGGGCAGTGAAAATCTACGTTTAAAAGTTATGTTCACTATCCTTTTTGTTAGCGGTTATAGAATTCTGAATTTAAAATCTTGTTACCGTCACCTGATATGTTGTAACTAATCTGTCATGATGTGTTTGGAACCCGGTCGAAGCTTGCAGTGACTTCTTAGTATCAATTTGGGATGATTTTGATTGAAATTGTTCTTTTTGTTTACCTGTAAAATTTAAAGCAATGAACTAAGACAATCTTTACACAACAATGTTTTTTTTTAATTAGTTCATCACTCCGTTAGTTACAAATTCGATTCGTATACCACTATTTAAATAATTGTACTTACTAGGTATTGGTTGAATGATGAGTCTGCTTTTAGTGTCGTCTGGTTGGTTTTCTATTATAATATGCATTGTTGTGGGTTGGTTGTTTGTTATACTGACTGCAGTGTCTGTGGTGTCCATCTTGTGAGGCTTGACTTAGTTGTACGGAAGTGGAATGTGCTGATGATGAAGAAAATTAAAAGTTGACAAAGTAATGAAAAAGGAATAAGGGTATAAGTATTGGATGTTACTTTCAGATCTATTTCTAGCAAGAAATCGGTTTCAAGTTTGGTCTTATTACTAAACAGGCAACTAACAGAAAAACTTAATTAGTAGCCTATGTGTTCTTCCAGACTATGTTCTACATCTATACAAGATTTCATCGAAATCCATACAGCCGTTTTCAAGATACCGACAAACAAACATCCATCCAAGCATTCGCATATATAATATTAATAAAATTAGTACAAAGATTTAGAGATATTGAAGATAGATATTTAACAGCGACACTGAAGTATCGCGTATGTTATAAGAAATTGTTAAAATATTATGATTACTGAAGTGATGTGGGAAGTATACAAAGGGTTTTACAATAGATATTATGAGAGACCTCCCATAGTAATAGCGCTTCTATGAACGACAGGAAACCATACTGTTCTGAAAAGAGTTATGTGGCCGAAGAATTTTGATAGAAAACGACGAAGGTTTACCATACCATAGAAGATTATTGCCAATCGTAAACTGTTCATTCCGTAATTTAGTCGATTTACAGAAAATTAAAACAAACCATTCTACTAAAACTAGCCTTTTTATTTATTGCTGAAAACAGAATGGTTAATAATATTGAAATGTTTACAATTTTTAGTACAACTATAAATGTTTTGAACTATCTGTTTGGCTCTAATTTGGCGCGAATCGCTGCGTCGAACACAATTTTAGGTGAAGCGTGGCGTAGTAGGTGTGTACTGCGCAGCGAGCCGATGTCTTTAGACCGTTGAGATATTTGAAAAGACATATATTTGTTTAGAATGTATATAACATGGTGAATTCTTTTACGTCTAACTAACGTGTAATATCTGCATTTCTTGTAATAATATCGAGGTCATATGAAGTAAGCAAAATATATCATGATACAAGTCGACATTATTTTTTTAAATATTTTCATATTCTTATTGTCAACTGAATTGTTCTATCATAAAACCAACCATTGTAACGTACATTACTTATAAGTTTACTAATTTTTTAATAATGAATCTATAGATTAACTAGCTGTAACCCGAGACTGTGCGGAATAAAGAAAAAAACTTAATTAGTAGCCTATGTGTTCCAATCTTTTTTTTTATAAGGTGGCAAACGAGCGAGCGGCCACCTGATATCGCCGAAACCGTTGCCCATAGACATACGCAATTGCATATGCGTTGCCTACCTTTATACGACGGAGAAGAGGATGCACAGAAAGAAAATATCTTCCCTTTCCATGCATCCTCTCATCCGGAAAGTCCACTTCCACTTCCCATCCTTTCCTCATGAGAAAAAGGGTGCGAAGGGAAAGAAGACTAAATTAGGCCTCCAGGACGCACATTCATCAGACGAAACGCGGAATTGCTACCACTTCACGCCTGTCTTCTGTGTGGTCGTGGTATTTCACCGGATGAGCCAGGCCAATTCGTGCGAAGATGTTAAAGCGGGCTCTACCACTGTTAGTCTACACAACTTTGCTCTACGTTTTGCCAAATTTCTGTCGTTCTTGAGATACCTTCAAACAAATATCCATCCATACATCCATTCATCTAAATATTCGCATTTATAATATTACTAAGAAGTAAGATGTAATACTGACAGTCATTTTAAGTAGTCGCAGTATCGAGTAGGCGAAGTCAGGCCGGTAACAGCCGCGCCACTCCTCCACAGGGTACACTGACCTGTAACACAAAACATCATCACACCATCGCTCCATCTCATCATCTCACCATCACACCGGCTTACCATCTTACCATCTCACCCCCGCACTTCCTAATCAAAGTACCAAGCATTTGATTTGAGAAGTAAGTCTTGTTCTTATCGTGCCAAATAAAAGCCGTACCCGACGCTTGTTTACTAAAATATCGCTTTAAGAATTTTACTTATACTAAATACATATCAGAGCTATACTAAGCTTTATTTTATCGAAGAATTCTTATTATTGATGTAAATTTATGTTCTCAGAATAAATTAATTAACTTTGTTTTAAGAAACGTGAGAACTGTAAAGTGGCTTCCTGGATCTCCCACAGTACACTTACTAAGTCTTTATGGGTCATTAAAATGTTTTTCTAGTATTATATCCTTCATGGTCTTTTGGTCCAGCAATTTCTTTCAATTTTTACAAAATGATACATACCCAAATGTTAGTCGTAAGTATATCATAGTTAGACCCTTGTTTTGTTAATCTTGGACCTGATACTTACATTATTAACAAAGATTTATCAGCCAGTGAATTATTGCAACATATATCGTATAAAATTTAGCATTTCCTTAGTAAGTACACATTCTTATCAAATGTTTCAAAAACGTCAATCTGTCTTGTTGATATTATTTTTCTTTCTTATGCTGTCAACACTTGTTCAAGAACAATAAAAAAGGATTAACTATATCATTATATTATTCCACGCTTGTAATTAAAAGGTAAGCAGTGATAACAGATTTCTATTTCAATTCCTGCAAAAATAAGTACTCTGGACACTAAAACGAAAGGCGGACGTATTAGTCTAGATGCAAGTAAAATTTCGTGCATAGCACTTTTATTTTCACAATTATAATTTCCTATAGTAATAATAAGCACGTTATAAGAAACAACGTGTAAAATTTTATTCAAATATGTACTCCAGAGTATTCACTCTCCACTGCGTAAACTCATACGCAATCTTGATCGGATCATTCGTCTATTTTTAGTAGACTTGATTACATTACAAAACTATGCCTGACATTCCTAAAAAATGGTCGTGAACGAACTATTCTCATTGTCAACTTTTATGTAGTAATAAATTACGTAATATTGCTTGTAGAAATATTTTTTCTTGTCGCATAAAAAGCGCAAGAAATCAACGATAATTTGACCGCATGCTGTTCACTTGCAAAAAACGTAGCCTAAAATCACGTACTAAATAAAATACGATAGAGCTGTGTTTCTCAAAGTATGCTCAGGTCTGAAACCGGTCATTGCGTTGCTGAAGCCTTTCTGAAAAGGTCCTCCGAGGTAGATGTACATCATAATAAAATACTAAGGGAGTACTATAAGATTCTATAGGAATAAAAACCGTCAAAGGTAGAATATTAAGTCTCTACAAACAGTTAGGACACGAACTGAACGTGGGACGCGAGAGAAGAATTAAGAATACATTAATAAATCAACTTTTAATTATTCTCAGCCCTAGAAACAAACCTAGAATCTAAAGTTCAAATGATACGCTTCCCAATAGGGTAGCATAGTCAAAAAAGTTTGAGAATCGTTTCTGTAGAATATTACAAAGGATATTGATATAACTAGATTCTTAATCTCCATAAGATACTTTGTTCAGCGGGTTTTTTAATAGAAACAGTGTAAAATTTCAAGAGTAAAGCTTACAATGTCTCGAAAGAAAACGATAATAATAAAATATCGTTTGGTATCGAATTCTGTTTAACAATAAAGAATCTGTTTAACTCAGAAATAAATTACGATTATTAAACGATGAGTTGAAATTGTATTGAAATTACTAAAAAAATAATTAAATATACTATTTATTTCTTTTTGAACTATATCTGAAAATTCTTTACACATTTTATCATTTGTGGCTACATATTTCTTCTGTGAATCTTTTTTTATACCGTTTTTAATTTCTTTTTGTTTCACTCCTACATCCATGTCTTTTTCTGTTGAAAGATTCTGTTTATCTTTTAACTTTTGTATTTCATACTTTACTAAGGCATCAACTAAAGGTTTTGTTAAACTTTTATCCAAAGACACATTACGTAGGGGTTCAAATTGATTACATTGATTATAAATTATCTCGGAGTAAAAATCTTCGTCTAGTCTTGTTGCTAGTTCCCTTTTATTGATACTGTTTTCTATAGTTTTCGCTAGATTAATCAAAAGTATCCTACTTTGTCTACTATTTAGACGATGTAAAACTGAATTTTTCGGCAATTTATTGAACCAATCTGATATTAAAATTATATAATCTAATTCCGTCTTTAACTTTTCGTACGGCGTATCTTCATTCTCAACTTGATGATTTTCCATTTTGGAATACTGTGTGTAAACGTTTTCCAAGACGTTGCTAAGAATATTCCAAAACACATCCTCAGCTATACGTTTGTTCAAATTGGGTTCGCTAAAAAAATTCATTAAGCACTGCTTCATGACATTTTCAAAAACTGCATTATTACTTCCCTCAACATTCGACACTTTATCATCTTGGTTACTCGGTGAATAATTTATGATTTCATTTTTGAAATCTTTTGACAATGATTGTAGGCAAATATTTTGTTCGGATTCAACAATATTTTTCAACCAACGTTTCAAAGTGGATGTTACGTTACTATTACAACGTTTATTATTTAATTCATTATAAATTATAAAAGCAAAATCATGGACTAACATCTTACAGGAATCTGAATCCGTACAAATTTCAGTAGACGGTTTATTTAGGTAAGACAAAAAGTCACCATTCAACATATCCATGTTTTCTTTTCCATTAATCATATTCATGTCGGGTTCAACATCTTCTGGTATGATGTTCACTTCGCGTGGTTTTTCTAACAGAACATTTTGCAATTCACTTAGTAGTTCATTTTTGTATGTTATAGCTTCATCTGAAGTTTTAACAAAACCAAGTAGTGATAGCCATTTTGATATTATATCTCCTAAATAAGTTTCTTTATCACAATTATTTCCTACAATTGACGGAACAGACATATGATTGGTTATTTCCAGTGCGAAGTCACCACTTATAGCCTCCATGACGCTTCGATTCTTTAATTTGCCATAATTTTTGGGTAACTTTTCAATCCAGGCCCTAATTAGAGATGATACCTTTTTAACATTAACAGTTTCTTCTATGCTAATGTTAGGCCCGTATATTTTGTTTCTAGTTCGAAATTTAATATGATTTTTATCAAAATAAGAACAACAAGATGAGTTGTAATCTTTTTCATCAACTGAACTTAAAGAAATTGATAGTAGACTTGGTACGCAATTTTTCTTAAAATCCTTCAGTCTCACAATTGAATTCCTTGATTTGACGTCTCTTAGAATTTTAAGTGTCATACGCGATAAAGTAGGATCTTTCGTGACTGTTCTTTCTATTTGAGAAAAAGACCTCATGTTTAGTTCCATAGCAACGAAATGACTTTCTCTATACGGCTTATTTATATTTGTTTTTGACTGATATATGCCATTGCTACTTGATTTACCAACTGCACGAACTTTGCTGGTATTCGACATTCTTAGTGTGACCTGTTTGCCTACAGATTCGCGTCTTAATGGATTAATCATACAATGCTCGGGATTTAAGCAACTTAAAGTTTTACTGAAACCTAAATATGCGTTGTTATAAATTGTAAGCTGTTCAAAATTGTTTTGTGCATTCATAAGTATATTTGTCAACTCCATTGCGAGACCATTAAGGAATATTCGGTTTTTAAATAACGCCATAGTCAACGGTAACGTGTCTAAAACTTCTACGATTCCACCCTTTATCAAATACTTGCTCTTCTTTGTTCCTTTATCCATTAAACATGGTAAGAGTCGATTTAAAAGCGTCTTTGTAATATATTTCAAATTCAACGTTGTCCCTTCTTCGCCTTTCAAATTCTTTGACTGCAACCAAGTGTATATTTCATTTTCAAACATGCTTACTATAGGTACTTGGAATATGTCTTTATTACTTGCATAATGGTTTACATCGAGATCATCTTGGAAGGTTGTAGGGGATTCATAGAGATATTTACTATTAAGTACCATGATCCTTGTAATAAGGCTTTCTGTTAATATATATCTTATCTTAGCACATTTAGTGCTATGATATGACATGGGTAAAGAGTTAAGACAATGATCTATCTCTCGCTTGAGTTTCACTTCGTACCAATCTTCATCAGCTTCAACAGACAGCTTGTCTATTTTCTCTATTAAATTATTAACAATTTTTTCTGTAACAATTTTAGCGGTCGAATTAAATTCGGATTCGATAGGCACCTCGCGCAGCCATTGTAATACTTCATACTGCAAACGTTCCTTGTAGAAATTTTTAAAGGATACCGTCGTGTTGCAGGACTGATTACGCGCCAGAAATTCACCAACATTTTCAGCGTTCATAACTTCACTCGCAATCTTTGCCATCGCTTGTTTATCATCATGAAAAATGTTACAGTTAGTTGCTACGTGGCATTTCATATCGATACTTGTTTGTACAAGTTGATCTGCAGTTTTCAATTTTGTGATCTAGAAAATGAGAAGAAAACGTTAGAGTGAATTAGAAATAAAGGTTGGTACTAAAAATCAAGTGTTTCTTTTTTCCTTCTTCCTTTCCTTTACAGGTCTATTGAGTATTATTTATAATTAAAAAAAACTTTCGAATGACACAGAAAACATGGCGCAAGAACGTAGTGATCATCATCATCAACGTGCCTTTGGATCTACAGTGGGTCAGCACATCATACACAACTCTATACATCTCTATCAGCCGTTATATTTCACACAATTCTAAGAAATAAAGGTAGAAAATATTTACTAACTTTGATGCACGGCTTAGGGTCCTTATTCTCCAGCGTCAGTTTCTTAAATTTCACCGTGTGACATTTGTGCTGATGTTCTTCCCAACGTTTTCTGATCTTTGGACAGCGGGATTCATTGCATAACTGGCGCTGGAGAAATATAATTCTTAGCAATAATAATTATCAATCAATAGCTTAATAAAATATCATTATTGTATCGAATGGTACGATTTTTTGTTATTGCTACTTTAGCGAAAAGTACACATAACGCTGCTATCCTAAAGCAAAGATTCGCTTTATCTCAAGTTCTAATACTTTTTGTTCTCGTTTTATTTATTCGGACTATGTATGAACATTTCTACTTACTTTGAACGGTGCAATCTTTTCCCTTAGTTTTCTTATGTTTTCTAAATAGTTAAATTCCATCAGGTATAGGTCCCAAGGACGCGTCCTGCTTCTCCAAATCTTCAGCTTCTTGTAACGGTTTTCATGTCTGTGGTGATGTAATTTGTAACACAATGATATCTACCAGAACAGAAAGTTGGTTAAGAACATCTTGCCAGGCATGTTCGATGTCATCTTGTTTTGATTTTTGTGTACAAGTTACATTTTGGCTTGACTGTGAATTTATCTTAAAATGTTATACAGCATTTTGACTTTGTGTCAAAATGATTAGCAGCGGTTTTATTCTTTTTTATTGAAAGATTTTCTGACGACATTTTAACAGATAAACTATGTTTTGCACAATGTCTTATATTATTTCCTATTGTCTGAGGATATTTTTCATCATCCACTATTTAAAAAAAAATGGTACAGTAGTTTTCGTTGGAATTCATAAATCTTAAAGATGGCTTTTCAATCAGATATTAAATGAATCAATAAAATCTTAAGAATTGAAGAAGTGCCTGATGTAATTTAATTGCAATTCTACACAATTGTGCTTTTATTAAAATTTAAATTAAAATAAAAAGTTTAATTTTTTCCTTACCGAATACTGGCCAGAGTGTAGAAGTGCATATGTCAATTTCCTGATAGAAATTACTGACATTTTTCCGACATGTTAATAAGAAAATGTAATAGAATTTAATTCGATTTAAGATTAATTTAATGAATTTGTTTTAAATCTTCTAAGTGTTTTAACGATGACTCAAAATTTTTGTGCATAACAAAGTTTTATATTTTCCAGTGTAATTTTACTTACATTGAATAACTAAATTTTATCAAACCCTATTTTCCATTTAAGTTTTAATATTATTCTTGAAATGTAAGTAAACTATGGCGTAGTTATTTATAATTTTGTCAGACGTTAAAAATGATTACGTATAGTTTAGTGCCGACATCGACTAGTTTCTGGCCCTCGCTTACACCGTAGAGAGACCCTCGTCGGGTTTGGAACTAGTCGGTGCCGACATTTGACTGTACGTCAGCGCAGCCGTTTTTAATTAGTTAATAACGGCGTACTTATTTTATCTTGTAGTAAGAAAACTTTCTTAGCTCTTCAGTCTTTCCTTTCTGTCAGAAGTTGACAGATTAATGTTAGGACGTGAATTTATTAAAATAATAATTTGTTTTAAACAGGCTGGTGAATTATGGTGCAGATAGTCAAGAACATCCTAGTTCTTGCTATTCTTCGCTGCGGATAATGAAAATGACTGTAAGATACTTTTGTTATTAGCCGTGGGTTTTCATTGCTCAAACGAAAACATATTATATAAGAAGGCAACCATATTTGTAACTTTCTAGATATAGATTTTTTTAAACAGTTATCTTGTTTTGGATCTAATGTAACTGTTTATGTATGTGTGTTTGTAAGTTCCATTGTGACTTCCTGTAGTTTAGACGACAGAACGGATTTTGATGAGTGAAATGTCATTTGATTCATATTCTTCCTCTATGTATCATATGGCAGTTAGCCGGTTGTTTTTTGTCTTTTTTAAGTAAAAAATCTATATGTAAGAAGTAAATTCTTGTAGTCGTTGGCTGCGCAAGGCGAAAGACTGTATACTTTGGGGCCTACGGCAAGCAATGGTCAGGCAAAGACTTGAGATGATGTTATTTTACAGCACATTCCGTCAGGCTCGATGTGAAGCGTACAGCGATGGACAGCAAGGGCATGATGGCGGTCGTGCGCGGCCTGCCCGACTCCGGTCTCATGGTCACCCTCATGGACGGCGGCAAGCAGTACACGCTCATGCCTAAAACGGGTCAGTTTACCTTTGATACTTTTTTCTCGAACTTGTTCCTGTGCCTTTAATATTCGATTGACCCACAGGCACTGTTTATCTACGCTATTTTGTCCAACAGTGTGTGCATGATTTTATTATTTTTTAGGTATAAATTCGTCGCCGACGTACGAGGTGTGCAATAATTGCCTGTCGCGGCAATCTCAGTGCGGCAACAGCGAGGTGCGTCCGCGACAGGACAGCGGCGCGCAGGCAGTCGACGGACGGTATGCGAGCAGTTATAAGGTAAACACAACGATTTATGTTATTTTAGTGAACTTAACAAATTGTCTGGGAAAACTCCTTATACCCGATTCATAATTTTAGCTCTACATCTTTTTACCACACCTAAACTGTGTAATTCAAAGACTTGTGGCGTCCCTTACTATCGCCCATCGCTTAACCCTAACGCCGGCCCTGTATATGTTTAAACTATAAAGAAAGTTTATTAGTGAAAATTAATTATAAAAGCTTTTTAAATTTAGATTGAGTATTGCAACATGAGGCCTACATCACCGCCCGTGGAGTTAACTGAGTTCCCGCCACAGAGGGCGCGGCTACAGCCAGGTAAAACAGCTGTAATAGCTAAGTAAATACCTATCCATTAAACTCTTACAATGAAATTCATAACAAGATGTTGCAGGTCGCGGTAATTTTGAAGTAGGTGGTATCGGCAGCGGTGGCTCCACACCGAGGGCAAGTGGCAAACGAACTTATTCGAGCTGTCGCGCCGTCGCAGGTTATAAATTTTATATATAATACAAATTTTTAAGTAATTAATAAGGTTATGAAACTAAATTGTATTTCCACAAAGAGAATTTTATACACTGATTAATTAAATTGATTGGAAAGAAAACAATGAACACTCTACTCAGCTAAAAGTTCCTCAAATATATATAGAACTTTTTGGATAAGCCATGACTTTTTTTTAAATGACACGAGGCTTGTAGCAGCTGTTATGTACAACCAGCATCAAAATAGTACCACAAAACTGATGTTTTAAATAGTATTTTTATAATGTTATCATTTGTTTCGTTGCTTTAGCCGCAGCGAATATCCCGCAGTCAAAGTCGAATGCGTTTGCAAGCTCTTTGCGAAGGTACCCGAGTGTGGGCCCAGAGCCCTCCTCCGAAGTGTTCGAGCGACTCATCAGCTACACGAAGCCTTCAGACTGTAAGATTTTAAATAGCATTAATATATAGTTAATACTTCAGTTTCCTTGATGCTTATCCTCTGCAGAAAGTTTTACGGTCGAAACCAATATTCGATGTGAACCATTTTTGTTTTTATTCTGTATTGAATTGACACCATTCATTTGGTTCTTAATCAACCTAATTATCATTATCGTAATATTCGGATCGACCGAACTATTGAAAAATGATTTGGACCCTTAGCGTGCACTCTCTTGTACCTTTATAAAATCCTCAGGCTCGAGACCCAAAAATGCGTATTTTAAATACTAATTAGATCAAGTAATGTAGTGTTGTATTTTATCAATTTCAGCTTCACGACTAAACAATCCTAATGATTGTCTGACATGCTATCAAGTGACGCCAACGACTAGATATCCCAGATTCAAACATTACGAACACAAAACACCAAGACATTACGATGCATCACCGACACGCTACGATGGTCTTCTGCCGCATGAATACGATCATTTGTGTAAATATCATGAACATATAAATGATATGTACTATGGAAATTCCAGAGGAATCGACAGTAAAAGTCCATACCATGTAAGTACTATATAAAAAGTAGATTTTTTGCCGCTGTTCTCGTTTCGCCTGTAACAAAATCCTTCACAATTTTTTTATGATTACGTGTCGCTATAGATATTTTTTTATTTCATTAGTATTAGAGCTCTCGAGAATAAGTTATAATGTCCCAGCAAAATCATATAGGTTTCCGCAACTAAGACTGTTTTAACACTTCAACTGCTGCAAATCATACACATCTGGAGCTCGGTAGTCCATCTTTCTATAAGTTGTATCCGTCCTGACAACTTTAAAATAAACACTTTTATTTATCTCTATCGCACATATACAAATATTAACATAATCGTGCCGCACGTATGAAAAGAAATAGTCGTATAGTACTCGCAGTCGGGCCGATTTTGAATGATCCGCAGTGAAAGTGTTTAGAACTGCCTCAATGTCCGCCATCATACTTGCAGTTTCACTGCTGTTGCGGATGTTGCGACAACGATTTTTAAAAGAAAATTTAGAAAATGAACTCTATCTGTAGCTAGGGGCCAAGAATTTACCGGTAAGCAAGTTTATTGCTTATATCAAGAAAATTATCTTTTTAATTATACGTCATAACTAAATAAACTGATATAAAAACGGCTAAACACTCACGTATATTCGTCCGGTGGCGGCACTGACTAGTTTCGAGCCCATCGGGGGCCCTTTATCAGGATGAGTGTTACTGGTATTATTTCACGGACGCGGCCCGTCGCTCACTTCACTACCACTCATCCTGATGAAGGGCCCCCGATGGGCTCGAAACTAGTCGGTGCCGCCACCGGACGTATATACGTGAGTGTTTAGCCGTGTTTATATATCAGTTTATTATAATGTCTCACGAAAGTTTAAATAATTTAATAGTCATAACTAAATTTATTTTCAGAGGATGAATTCAAACAACATGAGGATGCAAGGTAGCAAAGTTGGTAAAACTAATTACATTTTTATTTATCGTAAAGTAGTTAATGTGTTAAATATAATAAAAAGCCATCATGATCAGATTGGGACTTTTAGCAACTGTTTTCAGTTTCAAAATTTCAAATTGCCTACATTTTGAATATGCAAAATGACTCTTGCTTGATCTCTAAAAACCCTAAAGTAGCATATATAAAATGTCAAAACAAGCTACTGTTATATGCTGTTTTAAAAAATCTTAAATTGATTCTTCATTACAGATGCGGCCTCTGTTGTTGCCACACTTAATGAATCATCATATGTAGATGTGAGTTCACATTTATATATATTCATAATAAAAGATTATACTAAAAAATATGAGAGCTTCGGTGGCTCAGGGGTTGACTTGCAATCTGCAGGTCCTGGGTTCGAATCCCGCCATGTACCAATGTGTTTTTCGATTTTCGATTTACATATGTACATTTATCCGACGTTCTTACGATGGAGGAAAACATCGTGATGCAACCTGCACATATCTGAGAAGTAATTCAAAGATATGTGTGAAATCAATCAACCCGCACTTGGCCAGCGTGGTTGACTATGGCCTAGTCACCTTTAATTTAGGGTAGGCTCCGAGCAACTCTGTGGGGATGTATAGTGAGCTGATGATGATGATGAATAAAAAATATGGATGGATTGTGTGACAGAGAATACTTGTAGGAGGGAAGTGAAGGCTGATAGAGTTTTTTATAAAGAAGAGAGTAGAGGAAAGGGCATGGAAGTGGTAAAATTAACACAAGTGCAATCAATAATCACATTTTTTATTATTTTGACACATGAAGAGATATTTTGCTATCGCAATGTACACTAAAATACTCATATCATACTTTTTAGCTACCGTCGTCAAAGTTGGATAGTGAAGAAAATTTAGCAAAAGGAAAAAGTAGTAATGTTACTCTAGAAGCCATACATATCCGTCCAAATTCATTACGGGACAATAAATCAATGCAAACATTCAACAGTTTGATAGAATTGAGACCAAAGAGAAAAACAAAGGCGCATCGAAAACCAAAAAAAGCTAAAATAACAAACCCGTTACCCGCTAAACGTAAAATTTTAACACGAAAACCAAAACAGGATGATTGTAACACATGTGAACATAAAAGATTGAAAACTGAACTATTAGAGCTAATTAAAGAATTAAATAATTCCGAAGAGGACAAAATGGAAGACAAACTAAGAGAAGTTTTGTGTAAAATATTAAATTGCATATTAAAGCATAGAAAACAAAGCAATTCTAAGGACAGTTTAATTCACGATTTAATAAAACAATGTGACATTGAAAACGTAGCAAGCGTTGGTACAGAATCATTTGATTTCAAGAAAGAAACACTCGAATATGTTTGGGAAAAATATTCAAATGAAGCAGCTAAAATACAACGCGCTATAAAAGATGACATGTTACCAATACTCAAATATCATTTGTTCAAGGAACATGAAAATGAAGTGGTCAACTTTATTTTGTCAAAAATAATCAAAGATATCGTTGGTGTTGTATCAAAAATTGAATACAAATATTTAGAAGAGTCGAAAAATAGTTTGCAACAGCTACGACATTTAGGTAAACCTAAAGTGATCGATAATAAAAAATCACAACATATGTACCAAAAAGCACAAGAGCAAAGTAAGAAATGTCGCTATCCCATCGCTATAAGAAACTTGGGTAAAACAAAAACTGTCGATAATTTAAATAAAAATATTAACAATCAATCTAACGAATCCATAGATTTGGAACTCCAGAGTATAGTTAATATATATCAGGTTTTGAAGAAAATACATTCATCTTCAGAGTTTCAAGCAAACTATGTTACAAGTATGCTTTTAAATAGATTTTGTACAACAAAAGCTTACGACAATGAGTTGAAAAATTGTTATCGAAAGTCCCGACCTTGTTTGTCTCCAGCAAAATGTATATCTGACACGTATATCATGATCCACGATTCGTCACGAAATAAAGCAATACTTACAAAGAAAAAAATGGATAAGATGAATTTACATGGTAGTACAAAATTATTAACTAGTATTAAAAACAAGCAGACAATGGAGACAAGTATGGAGCAAAGAAAAAAGAAGAATGATATAGAAAACGTTACTAATGAAGAAAGACAGCAAACTATATGTCAAGCTGCAATCCATGAAAATATTCCATCACCTCCATTGGCAATCGAAGCACCGAATATAGACAATGATTCAACAAAAGAAGAAACATCACAAAATAATGGCACAATTCCACAGCAAATTGAGAATAAAATAAGACAATGGTTTATGAAATTTGGAATTTATACAATACAAAATACAGTTTGTTACGACAATATTTTAAGAAATTTGACGGAAGATATAACTACACAATTAACGCTATTAAATAAACAATCAAGCGATGCAACTAGAGAATCTGTTGCTGACTACCTAAAATGTGTCATCTGTAAGCATTTGTTCCTTCCTATGACCGGAAGAAATTTTGAATTGGCTCATAAATTATCTGAATTAACAAAAGATGTCCTAAACATTTTCAATTTAAACACAAATGAGAATTGTCAAACGAAAATTTATCACGAACAATCACCAATTGCTTTTACCTCACATCAGAAAGAATATAACATACCAAAACCTCCCAGTTTATTACCAGGATCATATTATAAAGCTGATAAAAGCGTTATGAAAGATATTTATTCTAGAATAATGTTATGTGATGAAAATATACTCAAAATACTGCCTAGAGATTTGTTGAAACAGGAGGCTGAATGTTACTGTGGGCAAAAATGCAGAAATGGCGAATGTCAGAACCGCGCGAAAAATCTAAATAAGGACAATAGTAAAAATAAAAGTGATTATAAGATAATACTTACAACCACAAACACAAATGATTCCGAAAATGCTGTAAACAGTGCAAATACATCAAACGACAATGCTAAAGGTAAATTTTATTCCATAATTTTCATAGAAATATAAATAAAACTATTTATGTCTTGCTCCTACTAATCCTAATAACAATAGCTTAATTTAAAAAGACGTCACAGCGATCCTCTTTATCTGAAATATATGTATTAACATTTGAATAATATAATGACATTTCAGATCCGAATTCTTCTATTCAACCAAATCAAAACAATGTCAAAGATATACCCGAAAATGCAACGAGACAGCAATTGCATGAATATTGTGTTGAGACATTTCGTAACTACTGCAAAGAGCTACCTATTTTAGCAACTAATCCTGACTTGACAGAATTAGCCAGGGAAGGTGTACTACACAATATTTTAAAACTCTTCTATATGTTGATAGAAGACTCACATGTGGAAAACGATTACACGTACTTTCAGTTTACTTTTGAAGACGAAATCGATGGTCTCTTAGATATTCTGCCGCAAACAGAGGAGATGAAGAATATGAGACAAAGATGGAAATCAAAAATAGTGATGGAGGCAGTAAATATACTAAAATATATGCACAAAACAAAGGACGACACAGAATTCAAACAGAAACTTAATCAAGTATCAGATAGACGCAAGTTAATGGTAGAACAAAAACTAGACGATGAATACTCTCAACAATTAAGCGCTTTAAGAATGGCTGAAAAATTTATAGCCACAACAGACTATCGTGAACAAAATCCTCTTAAAATGAAAGTTTACATGCAACGGTTAATGAATCGCTCGAACCAGATATACGAATGTGTAAAAATAAAAGAAGGGAAACCATTTTTAGAGTTGCCAATTGAAAGCATAAATGAAATAGTATTCAAAGAACTCCAAAATGTACCAATACCAAACAATGATATTGAAAAGCAAGAAATTAATTTAGTGGAAATAAATAACGAGATAGAGGCCTGGTTTAATGAATTACCAGTAGTACCAACGGAAGGAATAAATATAAACAAAAGAAAGATATTAAAACAATCGCTAGCTAATAAAATTAATGGCTTGGATATGAATTTGAGCTTAGACAGTCCCGGAGCTGATAGAGAAATGAAACAGGAAATTAGCGTGTTTTTATCTGATAAAGCAGTTGGGCTTGAAAAAGATCAAGACCTTAATATTAATTATATGGTTGAAGATCTCGCTAGAAGACTGAAACGAAGACGAGAACGAGAAAATTCCTTGGATTATGATTCATTTAAAAAACACGTTCCATTTAATTCAAGTATTCAGAAAATCGAGAATTCAGTGAATGGCTCTTCACAAGTTCAGGAATTTGATAAAGTCCCGTACAGTAGTCAAAATGTAAGAATATCTAAAAATAATGAAAGAGTTCGTTTTGAAGATCAAATTCCACATGAGGATAAAATAGTAAAATTACAACCATTGAGAAGGTCCATAGATAAAGGGGTTTTAGGAACAAGTCAAACGCCAGGACCCAGCACTGATGAAGCTTATTTAACTTTATCAGCACGTCCTAGAACTTCTAATTCTCAAGAACCATCCCAACGTTATCCTAACATCTCTAGCCAAAGAAGAAAAATATTTGCTCCCGAAGATTTAAATGAAATAAGTAAATTTTTTGAAGAAAACCCAAATGGTATTAATAAAAGTGGCCGTTATAGAAGTCCCTCAGTTGGCCAACAAAGATCCGATTATTACTCAATGCGTGAACATCCTAATACAAATAACTTTTTTTATGACCCAAGATCTTCTAAATCACAATATGGTGGCCCTTCTATATCCACAGCACAGATGACGCCACCTTACGGAAAACCTGTAAATTACAATAGTATCCGTGACGAGAGATATGATTATGATATGGATTATGAAAGAGAAAGAGATCTAAGCAGACTTCGTTGTAAGTGTGGCGAAGGTTCTATAAGGCGCAGAAGACGACGTTCGTGTCATTGTGAAGATTTTTACCCGATGCCCTCGTGTTGTTTTTTGCACAATGATTTTTGAGTGTTTTACAGACAATTTTTTTCTAAATGCTTGTAAATGTAATTGTTTTTAATAAAAAGTTATTTGATTGCTTCAAAAGTTATTTTTCTTGATAGTATTTTCTATCTTTCAGTGTAGTTATAAAAGAAATAGTATTCGTATTAAACACTGAATCCAACAAAGGGCAATGAAATCTGCAATCATTTGCGTAGAGCTGAAAATTGGTAGAAATTTCCTTACACCAAATGGTAAAGATCAGGAATATTTCCAAAAATTTAAAGCTTTATGAGGATGTCCCAACTTCACATGAGCAAATTATGATTACAACGCCATCTCTTACAAATTCTTGTAACATCGCAAGAGCAACTTAATGCTACAACGCCATCTCTTAGACACTCGTGTAATGTTTGTAAATTTATCACGCTACTGCTACTCTTTGCTACTGCGCGCTAAAAAGGCGAGAGCATGTAAATTATTTTAATTGAGCAAAATCTATATTTTTTTCCGCACAAATGTAAAAAATCAAATTATTTTTTAATGATTTGTTTTCAAACAGAAAATAGGGATATCGAGACATCGATATCAAGTTGCAACATTTTTTAAAAAGTTACCTTAATGACGCCATGACAGGTCACGTGATGTAAATTTATGTTGGGCATGCGCGACATTGCCGAATATTTTTCGAGTGATTTTAAAACGGTGAGATTTTCTGTGTAAAGAGTGTAACATATTCATATTTCTTTTATTTTTCGATTTCAATAAAACAAATGAGAAAATTGATAGTGCCTGTGTCTCTTGTTGATTCGTGTAAGGAAGTGTTTTACTTGCAAAGGTCAAATCTCTAGATGGAAATGTCTCCGGAACGTATTTTTACTTCGGATTACAAAGGCCGTGCCTTTTTTCGTATGTGATCGAGAAACAAGTTTCCAGATAAAACAAAGTTAGTGCTTTCCTTATTTTCGTTTGTACTCTTCGCATCGGCAGTGTTTGATTCGCGAACTTTGTAAGACTTGACAGATCAGCTTTGTTACTTTCCTTAGAACATTCTATGATTTAAAATACTCTGTTAGATTATAATTTCCTGTAGAAATCAAACAATTTTAGTGATAAACGTTAGTAGAACTATCTTACATCCTTTTGAAACTTGGTAGGAAATCGTTTATTGTGTGGCACTTTAATATTTAGTAGAGTAGCCTCAATTGTTCGAATACGAGATGACATCATGATCTATACACATATGTCGTTATAAAATTTATAAACATTGTATATACGCAATCAGGATTTGCTCGCGATTATCCATATCGGATTCGATAAACATGGATTTTTACTTTACATATGCGATTATTTTATTGTGCTTGTAAAGGCGTGCCGTTTTACCGTATTAAAAAAAACAAGATTTTATTCCCAAACTATGGCTACGCATCAAGTGCTTACAAAATTACTCTGTACAAGTACAAATCAAAGTTTTAAACTAATAAGTTTAACTACCATATTTTTACATACCCAAAATAGTTTAGGAAAGGTCTATCTTTTAAGACACTAGACAGACTTTCCTAGAGAAAAAATATCTTATCTTTGTTAAGAATAAACAATTACTTATTTTCAATCAATATGTGATTATTTTCATATTGTACTAGATGGTAGACAATATATACACATTTGCATATTTAAAAACAAGCAAAAGTTCTATAAATTGTTTAATATTACATACATTATACCTTTCTCATATTTAAAAGGTGAAAGTTTGGATGGATGGATATTAGCAGGTACTTCCATAATAGCTAAATGCCTCTGGATAAAATTTGGCACAGATTACATCTGGAATAAAACATACTAAGTTTTATTTTTAATTCCGCTCGGATATAATCACAGACTAGTTGACTATAATATATGTGTAGCTGAATCAATAGCAATATTCTTTATGTGGGAGTTGTTATGCCATATATGAACATATAAACATGAGTTTCATTTATAATTGTTTCATATACGAAGAGGGTTTCCTTTAGCTATATTAAGATATATGTGGGTTTTATTCTGTCTCACAAATGAAATGAAGATGTCTTTGTTTAATTTGTCTATGGTAAAATTTTTAATAATTTCACTTTTGTATGGTTCATTTTATGTTTTGGCATAATATAATTATTATAAACTAGCTACGTCCTGCCATTCCGCCTGTGCGGAATTAAAAAATCTAAATTAGTAGCCTAGTCTTCCAGACTATGAGTTCTGATTTTATGCCAAATTTCATTGAGATCCTTTGAGCCATTACAATAGTTAGAATAACTGCCGTAACACTTGTATTGTCTTGTCTGTTTTTCAAAGAAAATGATAGTTAATATAATTTTATAAGTCCCTTTCAACAGTCCAAATCCTCAGTTAGTTTGTACACTATCTTTGAACCCTTTAATATGTTTTCAGTCATGACTCAGGGCTAATAAAGATTTATTACCTAGGTCATTACTTAATGGATCTTTCTAACTTGCTGATGTCATCCTCAGTTGTTTTATGTTGTTTTTATTTTACTATCAACGAAACTGTTTTTATTGCAAAGCAATTAAAAGGTACAACATTGTGATAATTAAGGTAAACCGAGTCTTATATTTTTTTATTTCTTTTAAATTGATGTCTGTATAGCTAATTTTATAATATGAATAGCTAGAATGTTGTTAGGGCTTGTTGAAAAGTCTGTTAGTAATGAATGCCATCAGTGTCATGCTGTTGATATGCCATGTGTGACACAAGTCCTCCAAACATGTACACTAATTAGCAAGTACTGTGGTAATTATCTAGCTATGTTATTGATTACTTGACTAATGGCTCTTATGTTAGATGTTTCCTGAGTTTAGTTTTTAATTGCCTTCATTGGAAAAGGTGGTGGAAAAGGATGGGAAGTGGAAGTGGACTTTCCGGATGAGAGGATGCATGGAAAGGGAAAATATTTTCTTTCTGTGCATCCTCTCCGTCGATTAAAGGTAGGCAACGCATATGCAATTGCGTATGTCTATGGGCAACGGTCGCTTCGCTATTTCAGGTGACTGCTCGCTCGTTTGCCGCCTTATGATATAAAAAAAAAAGTTTTAGATAATTTTTAAATGATCCAATTTATGATAACTAAGACTAATCTTTTTACTATTTACCTCTAGTGTGTTAGGTTGAGTTGGAAGGACAATTGATTCAGAGAATTCTCATTTAATAGAACATCAAACAAACATCAAAATGTAATTTAAATCCTTTAAGTATTTTTAGTCCTACCAAGCAGGATGTATATCTAAAAATTCTCGTTAAAAACCATCAGCGTATACTTGTAATCCGTTACTTGTTTGTAATACTGTGCAGTTATTTAAATCCTGTAAAAGCGTATGCAAGTTGTTTGTTAAACGTCGAAGCCCTCACTAATCTAGCGTCATTCAATGAACTATGTCGCCACGCCAATTGCACTTAGCATATAAACATTGGTATTTTATTTGTTTACATATAAATGTTGTGACTTGTTGTGTTCAGAGTATGTATTAATAAAGTAAAGTTGGTAAATAGTCTGCGACTGACTGAATTGATGATCTAGTCTATAATGCTCATGTTACGTAAAAACCTACAAAAAGAATATTAAATTACTAGAAATCGAAGTTTATTCAAGCGTCAAATGTGTCCTAACAGCGTATAGAATAAATTTATTTAAATATAAAAACAGTGGTATTATATAAAACTTTGTTATGAGAAAACAGAATTATTTTAAGCATAATAGTTTATGGAGATTTTACTATACACAGATATATATTTACTTATAGCTTACTTGTAGTGAAAGTCTATCGAAATCCGTGTTTACTTTTATGTGATATGAATACAAAACACTTACTACCGTTGATCAAATCATATGCGGATTAAGACCTATTTACATTTAAAAGTGCAATACGGTGGAACTTGAATAAGCTAGAGTACAAGGAACCGCGATATATTTCTTGCTTATAGACGTTTCTCTTTAATTCTAGTCTCAAACTCATGGTGGTCATGCATCAGGAATTTTTCTGTTTCTGGTTGATTTTTTTTTAACAGAGTCAGTTGAGTTTATCGTTTTTTTTTAAATTGTCTTTCAATAATCCTTCTGTATTTTATTTATAATTAGAGGGATAGGTTCAAAGCTGTAAGATCCATTGTTGCCAAAAGTGCCAACAGTTTTGCTCTTAACACATTGAGTGCTACCTACTCTCCCTGCCAGTTCATTATAATACGTGAAAGTCTTAGTGGTATTGTATGTGTTAATTTAAATTGGCCATTAGTTCTTCCCTCGCCGCGACTTACGTCTCAATGCCAATTCACTCACTTAGCTGTCAACAAGCAAAGTCATATCCATTGTTCCATTCAGTGTGCTCGGATTGGAACAATTGATATGATTGGTTGTCGTTATATCAAACTGTAACTTCATATATTGTTGCACATTGAAAACAATTAAGGAATTCAATTAATATCCAAGTAATAATAACATTCTCTTATTGTTTACTGAGTAGTAAGTAGTAAGGGTAGCCCTTAGGTTTAAATAAAGGATTAAAGTGACATAACCAACCTTGACCTTGCAAATTTTTAAGTGCATACTACTAATCCATTATTTCAGTAAAGAGAACAAAAGCTGTAGATATCTTTGTTTCTATGATTGTCATCTTAGATTTGGATAGAAATTCACACATATGTGAATATGTTTATTTAAAGTAAACAAGCCAGCAAACAAACAAGCAAGTGAAGACAGGCGTGAAGTGGAAGAAATTCCGCGTTTCGTTTGATGAGTGTGCGTCCCGGAGACCTAATTTAGTCCTCTTTCCCTTTCCACCCTTTTTATTATAAGGAAAGTATGGGAATTGGAAGTGGACTTTCCGGATGAGAGGATGCATGGAAAGGGAAGATATTTTCTTTCTGTGGATCCTCTTCTCCGTCGATTAAAGGTAGGCAACGCATATGCAATTGCGTATGTCTATGAGCAACGGTCACTTCGCTATTTCAGCGATTTCAGGTGGCCGCTCGCTCGTTTGCCACCTTATGATATAAAAAAAAGTAACAGTAAAAAAATCACTATAATTAATCATACATCCTTATCTTAGTTGATAAGACTCCAGAAATTCCCAGCTTCCGACATGAAATTAAATTTGTTAGTGTAAATTTATAAATAAATATTTAAGAAGTACAAATAGGTAGGCATAGATTATAGATTTCCATTTGGTTGATCTTTATTGAGATGAGTAGCTTAATTTCATCTTTGAGGATGTGAGTAATTTGTTTTGTACAGTTAAGCTACATAAATTGTCTCGACCTTAGTTATCTTTTTGTACCACTCATTGTGAAAATACATGAAATATTTAAACTGTATGGAATGTGGTAAAACATGTTGTACATTCAAATATGGCCTCTGCCGTCACTTATTTTAAGATATAAGTTGTTTTAACATTATAAGACATTTTAAGCTATACAATAATTATTTAATCATGAACTAAAATGAATAGGTTTTGAATCTTAGCAGATACAGGAGTACTTTTACCTTTTTACTTTCAAGTTTAGAAGTTTCGTCTCAAAAATAGACTCTTAAGGCTAGGTGTTAAAATATTGGTTGTTTATTAAAAAGATCCTGATCTGTAAAAGTTTTGCAAGATTTTCTACAAATAAACCTTAAACATTTGATAGTAACTTTGTCATATTCGAGGTTAGTACAAGGTGACCTAGGAATTCTAAAACTAGTAATATTTGACCCATGACCTAAAGTAAAGTAATATTTGCTTCCGAGATATGACAACAAGGCACTATTTGTAGAGTTATTAACATATTTGAATACAGATTTTCTTTTACAGTGCGAAAAGATTCTCAGTGAAAATATAAAATGCAGTGGTTGTGAGCGTAGCGGTGGCGCGGTCAGTGTTGTGGTAGCAAGGTTCGGTGCCGGCTAGTTTTGTGCAATGACAGTTATTTGGGTGCGGACACTCGGTTACGTGGCTAAGGTGAAATTTTTGGATTTGATTCAAGGATAAACGACGTTTAACGGTGAGTTTTTATACTTTTAATTACAAAGTATGTACATTCAGCTGCATTAATATGTAACATGATTCAAAGCTTCAAAAACTTGTATAAGCTTTTGGTTTTAAAAATATGTATAAGCATATCTGTCCGTCCCTATGATTCCGACCATGAATACAAGCTACTAACGAATGCGGGCGTAAGTATTTTGAACGCGAAAATCTACACCAATTTCTAAAATGTTGTAAATATATACATCTTAATGCAGCTGACTGTACATACAGATATTCAGACTGCCTTAATACAGTCGTAGTTACGAAATGTAACACATAATTGTAAGTACAAGTAGCTTCATACGTCACGTCACTGACATTGGCGTGACGGACAAACCCATTTAGTCAGTACAAAATGACACGAGAATCACATCCGTTACAAAGACATGACGTGCCGTGACTTTTGTAATATTAAAATGATCAAGCCAGTGAACCATTAGGGGTGTGTAGAGGTCAACCTCGATCCGCCCGCAGAACTTTAGCATTGAAACATGACGAATATTTTTGTCGAAAAGAAATCGCTCTTCGATGACTCGTATGCGATAACAGGTCCCACATAATGTTCTTCAAGGCGCCCTTGTTTTTTATAATTAATTGCTTATACAAATATAACTAGGTCGGTGATATCAGAGTTTTTAATGAATGTAAATATAAAAAAAGCACAGACATGAATTTCAATGAAAGGACGTCTTTCGGTTGCATTTTTTTTCATCATCATCAGCTCACTTTACGTCCCCACCGAGGCCTACCCTAAGTTAAGGGTGATAAGGTCATAGTCAACCACGTTGGCCAAGTGCGGGTTTGACTTTACACATATCTTTTAATTTACAAAAATTAAAATATAGCTTACCGACAATCCTACCTTAGTACTAGAGTATTAAACTATAGAATAAATGATATTTCTGTCGAGTTCATTGACCGTTGTTTTAAATTAAGTGCGATTCGTGTCCCGAGTCTAGGCAGCGACAGTGTAGGTCCGCCTAGATGCATACTAAGTGTAACAATAGCGCACATTGCAGTGCGACACGCAATGTACCTTATTCCTATGCGTTTACATTGTTGAAACACTTGTTTATACGTAGCATGATTGCCTATGAATGTTACTTCTTACTAATATTATATTGTCACCCGCGACTCCGACCGCGTAGAAATAAAAAAGAGACAATTAGTGGCCGATGTTTTCTTCTAGACTATGTTCTATATGTATGCCTAATTTCATCGAGATCAGTCGAGCTGTTATGGAGATACCTTCAAACAAACATCCATGCATCCGTCTGAACATTCGCATTTATAATATTAGTAAGATATGAATGTTTGGATAGATGGTTGTTTGTTATGAGGTATCTCGAGAACGGCTCATCGGATCTCGATGAAATTTAGCAAAGATGTAACACATAGCCGGGAAGAACACATAAGCTACTTAATATTTTTTTTTAATTCCACGGGGATATAGTCGCGTGCGTTAGCTAGTATAACATAAATATCCAAAACCAAAATATGTTACTTGAATACGGTTATAAATGAGTACCGTATGTACAAGGAAAATATTTACGAAGTGTCTTGTTACAATTAACCACTTATTAGTTGTAATGGCGTCCTTCAATATATTTGTCCCTATCCTACATTAATCATTTAAAATTATTAATACTATAATAAGTTATTAAACAGTTGTAGAGCCCGCTTTAATATCTTCGCACGAATAAATACCACGACCAGGCGTCAAGTGGACGCAATTCCAAGTACATTCTGATGAGTGTGCGGCCCGGAGGCGTAATTTAGTCCTCTTTCACTTCCAACCCTTTTTCTTATAAGGATTTTCTTTAAAAATGTTACTTTAATGACAGCAAAAAAAGGCAAAGGACATAAGAGTATATTCTGCCTAAATTATGTTCTGTTTTATGTAATTAATGTCAATTATCACCAGATGGCGCATTACCCGCAGCCGGCGTCGCTGGAGGCCGCGCTGCCGCTGCTGAGCCGGCCGGACCTACGGCTGCGGCAGTTGCTGGGTGAGCAGCTAGTTGCGCTCGTCCGCCGCGAACCAGACGTCACATTTGATATCGCGGCGCAGTTGCTCGATGCGCTAGTGGCTTGGCTTAATGGTGGCAACTTTAAGGTATGTTTTTTATGAAAATAAGTGAAATCATAAGCATCTCCAACATGCGAAACATATTGTTGTAATCTGTTTTAAATCTTATCTTACTACTTATTTTATAAGCGACGAGAGCCGCCCACATATGCCTTGAAATTAAGTTAAATCAATAGGCACGTTAGACTCACGTTGATAAACTAATTATATATCTTACTATCTTACTAATATCATAAATGCGAATGTTTGGATGTATGTTTGTTAGAGGATTACTCCAGATTGGCTGCATGAATCTCACTGAAATTTGGCATAGATGTAGAAAATAGTCGTGAAGAACACATAGGCTATTGATTAAGTCTTTACGAACGAGCGTACGTAGTCGCGAGCGAAAGTTTGTGTCGTATAATAGAGTAGTGTCTTTAGTAGTTTGAGTCAGTCCCTTGTTCATCACTAGCCTTAGTTGATCTGTTAATAAATTAATGTAAATAGATAAATTTACAATAAAAAGTATAAGTAAGTCGAAAGACAACGACTAACCTCGAGATGAGAGTTAACCTTTGGAGAGAGTAAAGCGATGTGCGGGTTAACTTTTTCAGTATTCGTTTTGTATATGAATATGTGAGTTAGGCATTCAATGTATATGCAAGTCTATAATAAGCCGGTCTAATTCCGCTTGCAGACGCAAAACGACGCCATGTGTCATGCATAGTCTGATTCGCTGTCTCTGATGTACTTCATTGCGCACAACACTATTCTGATACAATCGAGCGATGTTACTACGATGTGGAAGCGATAATATAACTTTTACAGTAGAGAGTACCATTGAGTTAGTAGATTTTGAGTTTAGTGAAAGATAAATCAATGGTTTTTACTTCCTATTAATATTATAAATGCGAATGTTTTGATGTATGGATAAATGTTTGTTCTCGCCGTAATTTGGCATAGATGTAGAACATAGTCTGGAAGAACACAGGCTACTGATTAAGTCTTTTTTAACTCCGAGCTAACGGAGTCGCTGTTGATGTCTATGTGGCCTAGTTGCGATTTTTTTTAACAGCATTTCGTTTCTTGAAGTTAAATTTGTATACCAGAATATGTTATGACATAAATTCTAGATTTTTTTACAAATTCTTTGAATAATTTTGTTGTACGTAATATGTATGAAGTTATTTATTATCAGAATAAGTAGTTGTATATTAAAGCCGTAGCTGTGTACAATGATATCTCAGTAGCAAAGTACGCGTTGGTCTGTACGAAACGAAATCATAAACGTTTTCAGTTCAAATTCAAATTAATAAAAACTAAATCAATTATTTTTATTAATCCTGTTTTATAATTTGTTATATCTGATGTGAGTATTGTGAACTTATTATACTGTTAGTTGTCGCACGCGACTCCGTCCGCGCGGAATTAAAAAAAACTTAAGTACTAGTTAGTAGCCTATGTGTTCTTCCAGACTTTATTCTACATCAGAAATTTTAAGCGAGATCTATTCAGCCCTTTTGGATATACTTTCTAACAAACGTTTATCCATCTATCCATTTAAATATTAGTAGATAAGGTTGTACTTTTTTTAATCTCGCGCTTCCACCGGCAAAATACAAGTAAAAGATGCCAAGTTCCCACTATCAAGTTGTTTTGACAGTGGGAACTTACGTTTATTGTTTTTGAATCAATTTGGATAGTCATTTTTTTCGCTTAAGTTTAGAAAACTTTACCGTATGTAACCTTTGAGGGTGTTATATGTATCCCAGTGTTTACAGGGACTAGTGGCCTATTTATCGTCCCTTTGTGTTCATACACATCACCCTTTGTATATAGGTTAACTGGGTATGGGGCAGCAGAGTCGTTGTTTTGTTTACTGGACAATATTGATACTTTACTCGCTTATTGTGTTTATAAAACATCCTGTACATTGAATAATATATTAACACTGTAATTATAGGAGTTATGCAATACTAAACTATGTTGCCTCTCCTGTTTTTTTTTGAGTAGGGAGTGAAAATCGTACGTGGTTAAGTCTAGAATTGGAACCTCATGGAATGTGATCCCATGGCAGCATTTTAACCGTTGTTTTCTAAGACCATAATCTCTGTATAAAACCTACATAACAATATGTTTTAAATGGGGATGTTGGTTTCGGAAACCTATGGGAAGTCACGTATTTGTGAAATTGAAGAAAAGTTCAGTACATAAGGGACTAGCTGTCCCCCGCGACTTCGTCAGCGCGGAATTAAAAAAAGCTCTCGGTTGCAGCATAATGTTATATAGCCTAAAGCCTTCCTCTATAAATGGACTATCTAACAAAAAATATTTTTTTTTAATCGGACCAGTAGTTAGACCTGAGATTAGCGCATTTAAACAAACAAACAATTCCACTTTACAATATTAGTATAGATATTGATTGAAGTGCGTTGTTTTCAGATTGCGCAGAATGGGCTGGAAGTGATGACGGCTCTGGCGGAGCGTATGGGACCAGACTTTTCAAACTTTGTGCCTACAGTCCTACCTCATATTATTGACAGGTTTGTACAGATTTTTGTACTACAAAATATAACACGTCACTACGGTGTCAGTCTATATCGGAGCCCACGAGTGGTACGAGAAGATGGCCACCAAGGTATTTTGAATGGGTAAAAC